GAAGTCGAATGCCGCTGTGCCGCTCGCGGAAGATCCGATTCGGGTCGATTTCCCCTTCGGGGTAAAGACGCTTCGCCGCGGCCTCCTCGGGGGCGTCGGGAGGGCTGGCAAGGATGGTCAGGCCGGAGGATGGGGCGGGCTGAAGTTGGGCTTTCGCCGCGCTGGGGGCGTCGCCCGCTCGGGGCCTCTCCTCGCCGTGCGGGGGCTTTGGCGGGTGTGGCATTCCATCCCGCAACGAAGAAGTCGCGCGAGGGGGGGCGGCGGCTAATTTTTCGTCAGAAGGAGCACTTGGAAGGGGATTGGCACCGCGGTTTGCCGCAAGGGAAGTGGGTGCCTCTTGGAAGATGTCGAACAAATCCTCATCCGCATCCATGTCCCCTTTTTCCTTTCCACCTGAAGTTTTAGCGATACGGTCGGACTTGAATGTTAAAAAATCCCTTGTAGGATTTGGTGTTGTTTGGGGTTTGGTTGTATCGAACTTGTCTTTTTCAAATGTAATATTCTATATATGTGTATGCATCTATAGTTTATGTCAAATACGTCTATCATATAATATATATATACGTATGCGTATATGTGTGTATGCGTGTGTTTTCAAAATATATTTTTTATTTGTCCAGATAAACTTAACTCTTTATGTAAAAAGAAAGGATCAATAAAGAAAAGGAGAAAAAGCTTTACCAATGCATAGTTCCCCCAATGGTATAATCAGCGCACCTTGAGGGGTGTCTATCAGATAAAGTGCAGATATACATATATATATATATATTTATATATATGTATATCTGTTAGTGAATGGGTTTCTTTTGTTGTTGTTGTAATGACTTTGTACATCAAAAAAAAAATACACAAAACACGGTAAAGACCGTCCATAGGAAGGAAATGGTATCTATTTTAATCTAGACTCGAAAAAAAACATCCTTTTCGCAAGGTTCACTTCCACAAACATGACAAATTATTTTATAAAGATATAGATATAATTGTGTGTATACATCTATTTATAGATAGATATAGATCTATGCATAGATCTATGCATATAGGGAAAAATAAAGAGAGATAAATAGATGCATACATATATATAAATATATATATAAACGTAAAGAGGTATTTCCTTTCCAATAAAGGAGAAATACAAAAATTACATCGTATATCCCACAATGATAACAGAGAGGATAAAGGGCTCAAGAAAAAATATATTATCATCTTGCATATTACGTATACCAAGGTCCGGTAAAGAAGGAAACGAAAATCCGAACCCCCTCTTTCCTCTAGATATTGCTAGCCTTCTTCGTATCGATCTCAAGGAGTCATTTCATTTCAAACGGGATGCCATTCCTCCTCCTCCTCCCTTAATCCACTCCTCGTTCATAACCTCTGCCAGAAGATTAGGACCCCGAGGCGGGAGAAGCGACGAATAAACCCCCCCCCCAAAAAAAAATAACCCCATTAAAAAGCAGTGCGGCGAAAAGGTAGTTTGACCGCTCCATTCGCCGCTCACTTTCCCCCCACGGCTCATCTCGAGTGGGGATTTTTCAACAACGGAAGGGACAACGTCCCGCGCGGGGCCTTTTTCGCGGAGGACGCCCCCCCCGCGTCCGCCGGCAGCGGCATCACGGGCATCGTCGCCGACGACGACGCCGCCGCGGTGGAGGACGGGGTTTTGTCGACGGCCTCGCGCTGGGACTTCGACCGGGCGCCGCCGCCCCGGGCGTTCTTCTTCGCGCCGGCGCGGCGCTTTCGGCTGCGCGTGCGGGGGCGCCGGGGGAGGGTTTTGGCGCTCGGGATGGTCAAATCC